CACGAAGCGCGAAAGGGACTCTCAGTTCGAGGCACTGAAACCGAAGCAGCAGCACATGGAGAAACCACCTGTTTTGGCCGGTAACTCTGATCGGTTGCAGAAGACTTTGCTTTTGCCTTGTTTTCAAACAGGGGATTGGAAGGGCCGGGAGAATTACAGGGCTCCACATGCCCTTTCAACGAAAACAAAAGAACAGGAAGGGGGAGAGAGCTCTCCAAAAGCAGAGCCAGTCCAAAAAGTGGCAGAAGGCTGGGAAGGAAACTCCTCTGCGTCCCAGAGCGCCGGCAGCAGCGGCCTCCAGGTTCATGAATCGAGTGCATTAAAGTTAAAATAAGCAACTGATATTTACTGCAATGAAGGGGCAACCGATCGGCAGAAGTGAGGGGAAAAGCGCTTCGCTGCCAGGGGAAGCATTACCCATAATCAGGGAACAAAGCCCAGAACTGAAGCCACACAGAAAGTTACTAAGCAAGGTAAAACTATTCCGGGAGGTGGTGCTATGGAAAATCCTGGGAAATCGGAGCGCCCAGCTGGGGATTCGCGATCCGGGTTTTGCCTTCCTCCCGGAGGGGGCGGGCAGGAGAGGCGTCGCTTCCGCCCCGGAGAGTCGGAGAGAAGCAGGAAAGCGGCGCAGGGAGACGAGGCGCGGACGATTCCCTGGCGAGCCCGGGGCGCGACCGGCCGGCGGGACTCCCGTCCGGGAGGAGGCGGCCTCGTGGGCGAGCGGGGCGGGCAGCGGGGGCAGGGCGGGGGGGCTGGGGCAGCGCGGGTGCCCCGTCAGCCTCCCGGGCATCGGAAGGGGCGGGCTGCTTGGGGGACGCGATCCCTGCTCTCCGGGGGCAAAGCGCGGCGCGGTCCCCTCTCAGGAGCCTCCGCGCAGAGGAATGCAGCCCCGGGAGACCCTGGAGCAGAGAGAAGCCGAAATGCCTCGCTAGGCACATGCCCAGGAGACGGTCCGTTGCCCGGCGGGACGGGGAGAACTGCTCGTCGGAATCGCGGGAGACGCGCGCCTGGCGGGGCCCCCGTTGCAGCAGCCCCGGCACAGAGGGAAAGGGGTAACATTCCCGGCCCTGGGACAGAAGGGGGGCACCTTCCGCCCATCCCTTTTCTCTTTGCCTTGATTCCCAAGCAGCAGATTGGCCGAACGCCGAGAAGCACGTGGCTCCATCCGCCCCTTCATCAAGAGCAGGAGGGCGCAAAGTGAGGAAGGAATCGAAAATGCAGCACAGAAACCAGGTAAAGATTCGGGGGCAAAGCAAATCCTCTCTTTGGCATGTAATCAGAAAAGCAGCTCTTACCACCCCACCCCACTGCCCTGCCTCAAACACGTCAAAAGAGGCCTCGGTGTCCGGTGGTGGAGACCAGAGGACCCCACTCGGGTAGTGGGTAACTGTCAAAGTGCAATCGCCGTGTGTTACAGGCTTGCTAAAGTGCCTCCCTAACCCTGTAAGTTCACACATGCGACCTTTCTGTTGACTTAACTTGGCCAGCCTGTCAAAGGCATCTAATTAGAGTGAAATGTAACTTTTCTTTATGGTACTGTGACGTGTATCCAACTTTCCTATTTATATCAAAGTATCCAATCACCTTTCTGTGTATTGTACTGTATGTTTCTAACCCCCCTCACTCGGGGGAGGGATTTTGCCCTGCTTTCTCTCAAACACTGGCTAGGGACTTGTTTAAAAGGACCAGAGATTTAATGCTGTTCTAACTACTGTATATGAGCAATCTTTGAATTGCCACTGGAGTCACAGGCCAATGCACTTCTGCCGGATTTCATTGGGTCACCAAGGAAAAAGATGCAAACTCACAAGGACAGGTGCAGTATCTGGCTTTCTGACTTTCGGGGGGGAGGGGAATTTCAGCTGCCTCAAGAAAGGAAGAAGGAGGTTTGTCAGACTCCCACTATATATATATAGTGCTTTATATATCTGCAGGCTTGGAAAACTGGCAGCCAGCGCTTTCTTGGGATGCTCATGGCTGCTCCCCAGCACAGGGCCACGTCCTACTGCGGCAATGGCTAGCTGGCCGGCATCGCTCCTTCTCCGAGCCCAGAGGGGCCATGGGGGCTGCTGGCTTACGTCAGCCGACTGGCCTGAGACTGGACCGCCTGGAGACCATTGATGCCGTGGGAGGAGCGCGCCCAGGTGCCCCTGCTGCTGAAGGAAAGCGGGGGAGTTGCTTGAAGTTGTTACTCTGGCTGTCTCTGTGTACTTCTGTTAATCTTGTTACTCCCTTCTATACCATATGTCCTTGTAGGAAGAAAACAGACTTCCTTATTTCTAAGTTTTCAGTTTTAGAATATGGGTTCAGTGTGTAATAGAATGTTTATGTTTTAGTAGCGCTGGTGAAAACCCAGCATGGATTTCTTACACCTGGAACATGTTATATGTCTGGATTCACACCGAGGACCAGGTAAAACAGGCATGCAGATTACAGAAGGGCATGCACATGCTGTCCCAGATCAGCTAAAGGAGAG